CCCCAAAACCCCAAAACCCCAAAACCCCATGAATAATGGAATCAGATTATTTTTGTTAAAAAAACAAAAATTTTAAACATATTCTAAAAATTTAACACTATAATCAAATGGTTATTATATAAATGATTTTTCATCCCCACCATCCAGGTCTTTAAGCAGGCAATCCAGAATTTTCAACCACAAGACTACCAGGTGTAAGTGAAGCGCCACCTACACTGCTATTTGACAAGCCATTAGGTTGATATATAATACTGTTTGCAATATTACTTCCTCCTTATTTGATTCCCATTCCAATGTTTTGCTAGTTTAATACTAATTTCTTTTTGACAGGAATTTGAGGTTAAACCTGCTATTTGGTATATATTCCACTGGAGTTAATAGATTGATTTTCCCAGTTCTTTTATTGGATTTTCTATCTAGGAATTCTTACTTTGTAGAGCATCTCAAGTCTTGATCGCACCTGCTCTTTTTTCTCCTCAGGAGTAGGTTGATAAATATAATTGACTGCCTGTTAATTGTTTTAAGAATGAATTGGCATTAAATTGAATGCTACATCATCTGCTACATTTCCTTATCTGCTAGTTCCTTTTATATCAGGGAGTTTTAGAAGTCTTGTTTCACTCTAATTCTTTGTGGATCTGTCTAGTGGAGGAAACAATTGATTTTAGGCAATTAATGGTCCTCTTTTCTTTGGCCTTTTTCTATTGGCAATTCCATCATTAATATACTAATTAATGTTCATCTATTACTCATCAGGAATTGTTTCTTGATAGAGCTGACTTAAATTTTCTCTTCTTTACAAAGCTCTAGATAAACTTGATTTATCTTCAGTAATTGAAAGATGAGACTATTTTTCAGAGAAGTCTGTAGGAGTTATCAAAGATCATTATTGTGGCTGCTTGAGACTATTATAATTCTTAATCTTATTTTAACTTGGCTTACTTTCATTGATCTAAACTAAATTCCTAGAAGCAATAGTTGAGGATTGAGTTTATTCATCTATATTGATGTGCTTCTAGTTATTAATGATTCTCTTGTGTGGAGATATAATGATATTTCCTATTATGTCTAATTGCGATTCAGATGACTGATAGTTTAATCTATCTATACCTGAGGATGATATAATACTTTCTTAGGAACCTATTCTCTATATATTTTTTTATTACTTCTGGTTACTCCTTCCCTCTTTCATAACAAAAATAGGTTTTTCATTTTCTCTGATAGTCTCTAAATAGTTTGCAGCACTTTTATCTCTTAGATTTCGATCTGCTATTGTCATTTATTGATACTACTAAGATGCTTGTTGAGAATTACTTATTGTTTATGAAGTACTTATCTAATTCTAATTACCACTATTGTTACTGCTATTATTGTTTTTGTGGTTTTATTTAGTTTGCTATTACTAGGACGGGGTATTTTAATAGCTATATTCAGAAATTTGGGAGATAGGCTTATTAGGCGATCTTGAAATAGATGTGTTTAAATTGTCGTTATCATTAATTGGATCAGACTGCTAAATGTGAATTTGTAGTGATTCTGAAGCGTTACGCTTAAGTTGTTTCTTCTCTCCCTAGGATATTGCCGATCATCTTGAGCTCATTTTGTTGTTGCTATTCTCTAGATCAATCAAATTAATCTTCCTTCTTCGTTGAGCGGCACCACCAGTAGGTCTTACTTGTTTTTCAGTATGTTTTCTTTTTGTTTAAATTTGACTTTCTTAGATTCCTTAATCAGACAGATTCTATGGGCTATCCTCAATTCTCATGATATTTTTCTAAGACTAGGTAATTCTAGATTCATCATATTTTGATTTTGGAAGTCTTTCAGTCAGAAGCTTTAAATTGTTCGGAAGTACGATGGTATTTAGCAGCTCAATATTTCCTCCCAAGCCATCATCTTTCTCATGTTTTTAATCTATAGACTTATCATTTTCATTCATCCCAAGTTTATTGGTCCATTTTTTAACAATCCAGCTATCTAGTATCTAATCGCAGGTTGGCCTTGCGCTTGCATGAACACATATCAACTTTTTTATTATTTTCGACAAATCTGCAGAATATTGTTCCGGTATTTAAGGATACATACCTTTTAAAACTTTTTTAAATAATCCGTCCATGTCATTTGCCTTAAATGGTGGTTAAAGTGTAGCTATTTCATATAGAACACAGCCAAGACTCCACATATCACTTTTCTAGTCATAAGGTTAATCCTGCCATACTTCAGGACTGGCATAGTAGGGTGTCCCTGTTTAAGTATATAACAGTCCTTTTTTAGCTACTTTAGATACATTTAAATCTCCAAGTTTTGCTGTCCCATCTTTATTTAGAAAAATGTTTGCACTTTTCATATCTCTATGGAATATTTTGAGTTAATGTAGACTTTTCAATCCTCTCACCATATGAATGAAATACCTCCAGATAGTTTCCTCTTCAAACAAAGTTGAATTTTTCTAATGAGTGATAATTTTCTGATACAAGTCTCCATCATCTGCGTAATCCATTACGATGCATAAGAATCTCTCTTCCTCGAGAAAAGCCTCTTTGTAACCGACCACATTAGGATGTTGAATAGATGCTAGGATTCTTACTTCATTAAGTGCATTTTCTCTTTCTTTTTGAGAAAGTGGATCTAAACTGACCTAGATAAGTTACATTAATTTTGGATGAGAAATGTTCTACCTTTTTCAAAGCATAAATGTGATTATCTGATAATCTTTTTACTTTATAGACTTGGGAATAGGCTCCTTCACCTGTTTTGAACTTATTAAGTTTAACAATTTACCTAGCTTGTTTATAATCGTGAAATCCTTGAGACTCTTTGACATTACCAACAATAATATATAATTTAATTACCCTTCTACTTCTATTTTCTACGATGACTATTTTGGGGTTTTGGGGTTTTGGGGTTTTGGGG